GGCTGGCGCCTTAGCCACTTGAGCCACAGGTGCTGAGCCACAACCTAAATTTCTAAAAAGGATATTATTAAGTTAATTGTGATATAAGCAGACTGTGAAACATGAAAGTTCTTCATATGGTTCTATCTGGGTGGTAGAATTACAAATAATTTTTTTTTTTAAGATAGAATCTCTACTTTGTTAGCTTGGGAAGAGTGCCATTGTAGCTCCCAGCAACCTCGAACTCTTGTCTCTCAAGTAGGCACCTGATAGACTATCCAGCTATTTGTAGAGATAGGGTCTTCTTCAGGCTGGTCTTGAACTTCTGAGCTCAGGCAATCTACCCATCTTGTCTTCCCAGAGTTCTAGGGTTATGGGCATGAGAATACTTTTTCTTTATACTTTCCTAAATTTTTCAAATTTTCTGAAATTGGAAATACCTATATTGTTTAAAATTTACTGAGATGAGACCGGGCACAGTAGCTCATGCCTGTAATCCTAGCACCCTGAGAGGCCAAGGCTGGTGGATTGCTTGAGCTCATGAGTTTGAAACCAGTCTGAGCAAAAGCGAGACTCCATCTGTACTAAAAATAGAAAAACTGAGGCAAGAGGATCGCTTGAGCCTGAGTTGGAGGTTGCTGTGAGCTATGATGCCATGGCACTCTACCCAGGGTGACAGCTTGAGACTGTCTTAAACAAAATAAAATTTACTGAGACGAATTAGAAATAAAAAGGCTAAAGCATTAAATAACCCCCTCAAACACAAAGAGATTTTAAATGACTGAAATCTCCTCATGCTAGTAATTTTGTGCTTTCTTTACAGATCAACTGGTGAGACGGCAGTGAGTGCTTTTGAGATTGACAAGATGTATACCCCCTTGTTCTTCGCCAGAGTAAGGAGCTACACAGCTTTCTCAGAAAGGCCGCTGTAGGACCGTGAGTCCAGTCCTGTCACTGTTGCATGAATAAAAGTATATAGCGCAAAAGATCACCTAAGTTATAAATGTACATATGTATGGAATTGGAACTTATTTTAAATTGTTGCAGTTCTTTTAAGAAGAGTATAAATTGATTATTTTTTTTATTTAAAGGGATAGTTGCTTCTTGGGGTGTTTTGTTTAAAAATTAAGAAGTTGAAAGTATAAGTTGTTTAAGTATATTTATGTTTTGAAAAACCTTACTATGAGGTTAAAATCATGTTCTTTTTAAAGCAGATTTATGAGATTTCTGTCCTATAAGTTGTCTCCTGAGCATCCTAATATTTAAATGCACCAGAGGAAAGCTCCACTGGATAAACATTTTATTCCTGCATGACATAATGTCTTTGCACTAAAGGCTCAAATGTAAAAACCTGTTCTGGATTGGATTGAAACTGTTTCAACAATAAAGATTACAAATAAACATTTCTTTCAAGAAAATAT